CCGAAGACTATCTGATTTAGAGATGAAATGGAATACTACCGAAAAAGAATGTTTGGCTGTTGTCTATGCAGTCACAACTTTTAGGCATTATTTATGGGGAAAAGAATTTAAAATAATAGTTGATCACCATGCTCTTTGCTGGTTACATAAAAATAAAGACCCTTCCGGTCGTCTAGCACGATGGGCAATTAGGTTACAGGATTTTAATTATCAAATTTGTCATAAAAGCGGTAAACAACATACAGATGCTGACTCTTTGTCACGAAATCCGATTTCAAATCCTAACGAAAATGATGTCGAAGCTTATGAAATCCCGTTATTAACTATCCAGACTAAAAGTTTGGCAGAAATCGCGCAATTGCAACGAAATGACATTTATTTGAGTGAAATAATTTCCGCAATTGAAAATCCAGCAAGTGCTGATTCTAAATTGATAAAACAAACGCGCAGCTATTTAATTCAAGATAACATACTTTATAAAAAACATTTTGGTCCAGATGGTTCATCTAAATTGTTAGTAATTCCCGAAGCAGTTAAAAATGAAATCTTATTATGTTGTCATGATGACCCTCTTACAGGAGCTCATCTAGGTTTTGCGAAAACGTATGGAAAAATAAAAGATCGGTATTTTTGGCCTAATATTTATGCGGAAGTAGAAAAGTACGTGAAATCATGCGTACAGTGTCAACATCGTAAAAGTGTTCCTAGAGCACCACCAGGTTTGATGCAACCTATCAAAGTAGGTACTCCATTTTCGAAAATTGGAATCGATATTTTAGGTCCATTTCCGAAAACAATGTTAGGAAATTCGGTTATAGTAACTGCAATGTGCTATGCAACTAAGTGGGCCATAGCAAAGGCTTTGCCCGCCGGCACTGCAAAATGTGTAGCAGACTTTATGCTCGAAAACATAATTTGCTTACATGGATGCCCAGAAAACATTATAAGTGATCGAGGAAAATGTTTCACCTCAAAATTAGTTACAGAATTGTTGAAAGGTATGGGTAGTTTTCCTGTAACAACTACAGCCTATCACCCGAAATCAAACGGCTTAGTAGAACATTATAACGGAACTCTAGCTACCATGTTATCAATGTATGTGAGTACAAATCAGAAAGATTGGGATACGTATGTACATCTAGTGACTTTTGCCTACAATTGCTCTCCTCAGGAAACAACGGGAAAAACACCGTTTTTGTTAGTATATGGCCGCGAGGCTAGGTTGCCTATTGATGTAGCATTAGGCGTAAATGATCAAGGTGATCAAGAGGTATCAGAAATGCTCGATAAAATCAAACGAATTAGAGAGGATGTTAGAAAGCGGATTGAAATTGAACAACTAAGGCAGAAAACACGTTATGATAGTAAGCATCGCGATGTAAAGTACGAGATAGGTGAGAAAGTTATGGTATATACCCCATTTAGGAAAGTGGGTAGGTCGGAGAAGTTGCTACATAGATGGTTCGGACCATACGAAATAAGCGACAGAGTTAGTGACGTCAATTATAAGTTAAAAATGAAGAAAGGAAAACACCTGGTAGAAGATACAGTACATGTCGATCGATTAAAAAAGTACAATTCGCGCGAATAAGCAATAAAATACTCGAGTAACAATAACATTTGAAAAACGCGTTATAAATTTCGAAATGTGGTAAGTTGAATAACACCTAATAAATGCAAAGTAAGAGTTTTGCAATAAAGGTAACTGAACTAATTGCCTCTTTCTTATATTATTTTGCTTGACTTAAAAAAAATAAATAATTGTGTTATTAGAAAGCACAAAATAATGCTGATTATTAAATAACACCAAACAGTTGATAGATTTTATTCGATAAAAAAAATAGTTGAAATTATTCATTAGTCATTGCAGCACTATTCAAAATGATAATGAGTATGTTTATAAGTACCCTCGTATTTCTATTGGGAAGTATGATAGGGGTAAATAGTGAAATAAGCATTGTATCGGGTGCCTACTGGTCACATCTACCAGAAATGATAATTTATCAGTCGTCAGTCCCATTAATCTATGTCACGGAGATGCCATCACATGCAGAGCCGTTATTTCCAATAAGTTCGAATAAAGAAGCTTGCGAAAATTCGACCTCGGAGATGTGTCAATACGCCAGATTCCTGAAGCACTTGAACGCAGTATTTTCGAAACATTTATGGAGGATTCAAAGAAGTATCGGTTCAAGCGGCACACCTATTTCAGGTGAAAATCATGCTCGTAAGTCCAGATCAGTAGATTTCTTAGGAGACGGATTAAATTGGTGTTGCGGAGTGTTGACCAAACACTCAGTAGATCCACTTTTTGTGAATGAACAAAAAATCAAAAATAACATGGATAAACTGAGTTTTGCTGTAAATCAAAATCATGCTGATTTAATAAATGTCGTAGGGTCAATTAGAAATTACAGTTCACAGTTGTCATCAGTGCTTACTCATAGTCGAAAGTATGCAGAAGAATTGACAAGTCGTCTAGATGTCTTACAAAAAAGTATAAAAAACCATCTTAAAACCGAAGATGATTCAATCAGTTTTATTTGGGAATTTCTATTAGAACATTCTATTCAAAATCTTAACTCTTTGCAAATTTTTAATGAATACGAGGTTATAAGTAGGTGTCGTGATAATAAAATTCCAACGGAAATTATAGAGCCTCTAGTATTAAAAGCTGATTTAGAGAAACTTGATAAATCCTTGATAAATAATGGTCATGAGTTAGTAATTAAGCCCACAGATGTAACAAAATATCTGAGATTGAATATAGCTACGTGCATCGCGACGGAAAACTCTATCATTGTAACAGTTAGACTACCAGTTAAAAAAGTAGATTACGAATGGAAATTATATCGGTTACTTTCTGTTCCGTTCGCTTGGAAATCTGAAACTTGTGTTTTCACGGAGGACGAAGTGTTGATTGCGAAACACAATGCAGAGATAAAAGTGATAACTGGCAACGCGTTGAAGAATTGTGATGTTAAAAATAATTTATGCTTATTACCTAGATCGAGTTCTACGTCGGTGAAAGATACCGCGTGTTTCACAAATTTGGCAGAAGGCGCACAAATTTCAGATCTAGTGGAAACTTGCAAGCCTTTCTGTTTTTCAAATAACAGTACTATTGTGAATCAAGTTGAACCTGAAAAATTCATTATTTCACACCCACCCACTAGCATGCTATTAAAATGCTACGATAAAGTAGAAAACATAAGTATGGTACACGAGTCTGAGTTAGGATCAATAGAAATTGAAGTTCCGTGCTTTTGCTCATTACAATCGCCGAAATTACTTTACTTGGTTGCCGAAACATTTCCTTGTGATGCAAAAAGCATTGAAAAATTTGAAATGAGACACATTCTTCCAGCAACCTGGTCTAAGTTTGAATCATTTAAATTAAAACCGCTAACAACACATACACATTTGACATTTGAAAACTTTTCTGAATGCTTGAATCATAATTGGAAAAAAGTTATTCCGCAGTTCACTGTACAAAATAATAACAACAAAAATAAAGATGAATTTGATTTAGAAAATTTTGAATTACAACAATTTCCATGGCGAGAAGTCCATACACATAGTATGAATTTTTTGCACATCGTAAATCTTATAGCAACCGTACTAACAATTGTAATACTAATAAAAAATCCTTACTTGATAGGTATAGGATACTTACCAAGGGTAGAAGCGAGTGGTTGGAGTGATGTTTTAATCGGGGTAAACGTTTTTGGAATAGTTGTCATTGTAACAATTTTTATTTTGTGGTTGATCTATCATTTTCTTTCAAAAAGACAAGAAACTCAAAAAGATGTTGAAAACAATAAGTCATCGAATAAAAGTAAATTGGAGGAAGTAGGTCAAGTAGATAAGAAACCAATGAGGTTAAAGAAAGGCAAAGAGGTAATTAGTCAGCTACAAGAAATACATAAATCGGGAACTAAAAATCAAGAATAAATTTGAAGAACTGAGCTCAGCAGAATTTAGAAAATGAAATCTTGATCAAGTGGATTAAGAAAAGGGGCCTTAATCAGTAGAATTAGGAAAAAAGGGATCATGATCAGAAAAAAAAAAAAAAGATTTTTAGGTAGTAGAATTAAGGAAAAAACGTATGAATTATAGGATGAATGGTGTATGTATGCGGAAGCGGAAGTTGTATGAAAGAGGGAAGAAGTAATTTTAAGAAAAACACATGTTTTTTGTGAATTTGACATAAGACTATGTATTTTGGGGAAAGATAACTCTTACTTTTTTTTTTGTACACTCAGGTGAAGTTAACACTTCGTATAGAGTTAAGTTTCGCGGTGTAATGCGACGACTATGCAGTATTGCATTAGTCGTGAATCTTGTAAAATAGTTTTAGGAGGAAAAAAGGGGTGAAAATAAATGAAGGCATAAAGAATGTGTATTTATGTATTTTGTGAAACTTCTAAGCATGTGTCTGCGTAATTTTTTTTATGTTCTAGTGGTTGACTCGTCGTCCCCGATGGTTCCGAACGTTGAAGAGTACTTCGTCGTTGGGTTGGCCAAATGTCGAGGTCGACATTTATCAATGGTGGGGAGTGTCGCGAGAGCGCCCTCCTAGGCAGAACACCCTGTACCTGCTACATGCTTCCACCTTCACTCAACCAACGGCGGTGTGCTGTCCTGAGTCAGCAGGATTCTCAGCGTGCGGGGCACGGAGGGAGACCACGCAACTCAAGCCCACGTCAATCATTTTATTGCAATGTGAATGCATTTTGTATAATTAACAATTCAGTTGTACTGCTACCACATAACTTGTAAGATCTATCAGTCAACTCCCCAATACACCCCTTTTTGCCGACACTGCTCTAGTTATTGAACTACCATAGCTACGACCCCATACCCCTACGTCACAATATTGAATACATTTTTTTAATAGAATTATTCCTCTAGAACATTCAAAACTACAAATTAGAGTATCTTGCATATTATAATGATTACTTCAAATATACAATTTGAAATTGATTCTTCCTCACCAGGTACCAATTCTTCAGACCAGCCCCGAAGAGAAAAAGCAAATCCGACAAAAATGGTCTGCCACCAGAAGGCAGTGGGCAGGACAAGGCAACTCTCTGTTCTTGGGCGACAATATGGTGCTGTTGAAAGCAGTAGGGGCGGCCGAATACGCCAACAGTCAGGGAAAACTGGAAACATTCTGCGCGGAAAACGGCCTAAGACAGAAAGCGGTCGTGGAAATCAGAAAACTGCGACAACAACTGACCACTGTCATAAAAAACAACGTCCCGGAATCCGAAGTGATCGTGGATCCCAAATTGCCTCCGCCCACCGATTTACAAGCCAAATTGCTCCGACAAATCCTGCTCGCTGGCATGGGAGATCAAGTGGCCAAGAAAATATCACCCGAGGAAGTCAAAGAGGGAGAAGACAAAGCCAAATTCAAGTACGCTTACCACGCCAACAATATGGAAGAACCGGTCTTCTTGCACCAAGGATCGGTGTTGAAGAAGACGTTGCCAGAGTTCGTGGTGTACCAAGAGATTTACGAAACGAACAAGATGTATATGAGAGGCGTTACGGCTATCGAGCCTGAGTGGTTGGCTACATACGTCCCGTCGATGTGTAATTTGTCCGAACCTTTGCTGACCCCTGAACCGTGGTACAATCCTAGGACAGGTAAATACAAAATGGATTTGTGGCGAATACCTAATTTAAAATTGTTCTTTTGCTCCTCAACCAAAATTTTGATGCATGTAGCGCTTTCGTTTGAAACATTTTTCAAAATCGGAATTCTCTCGTTGTTTGAAAAATTCAGACAGCATAATAGGAGTTTAGCGAGGAAATAGAGGGACTAACTCTGTTCGTGATATAATATGAGGACTATTTTCTTGTATGAATTTAGGAAAAGGGCTATTTAATTCAATCGCGGTAAGATCAGATTACGTACTTCTTATTTTTTTCTGATTGAGTTGATCTTGGAGAAAAGTATTGGTTTTCTGTTGGTGAGACGGTGAGAATTTAAATGTGAGAAATTGATAACATGATTCTAATCTAAATTTATACTAAATCTAGAAGAGAAGAATGGTGAAAGATGTTCTTGAACAGAATCAAACAAGGTATGTTCAGGGTCTTCACATATATTCCAGAACCCTCCACTGTCTACTTGGTCAAAGAGTGAATTTTTTGTATATCTCGCTCCTGCAAATTTCAGAAACCTAACTTAACAATTACGTAAGATGATTTGATTGATTGATTGATTTATCAGAATGACCAGTCAGGGTTCAAAGCCCAAAACACTGCAGTCTTTGGGCCTATTGTATTCCTGATCATGCTGTTGACTCAGGTGAACAGGTTCGCTACCTTGATGAAGTTTAGCAGCCTCTTCACCAAATCTTTCGTTGGAAAAACCTCGTGTGAGTTTATTGCTCCCAGAAGGTTGAATCTCCAAGGTGCTAGTGCCCCGCACTGCATTATTACGTAGGTGGCCGTTTCCTCCTCATTGCATAGTCTGAATATGGGTTCGTCTGTATAGATGCCCATTTGATGCATATGCTTCCTAAAGGGTCACTTGTCTGATATGACTTCTGTTTAGGCTCAGAATGTCGTTAGTCACTGTTTTGGACAGTTCAGTTTGCTGTGTCTTCGCCCTGGAACGTTGTTCAAGTATGCCTGATGTCTTTCTTGCGTCCACCTTGCCAGCCAGCCGCGTATTGAGATTTTAGGGATTCCGAACACAGGTTCCGGTCCCAGAAACAACGACACAGACCCTTGCCTCGCTGCTTCATTGCCTTCAATTTCCTGATGCCCTGGCACCCATTCGAGCGTTACCTCGTTGTGGTTAGCCAGGGTTAGCAGGCTTCGAAGGCAATCCCAAACCAGTCCCGTACCCTCATCAGTCTTAGACTCGTCAGTGTACCACACTACCGTGTCTTCCTGACAGTTAGTCAAGACCATTTTATTCCTGTGGAATGTGAAAGGGTCTGTAATAGTTATTTCTGGGCAGCATTTTGTCACTTCCCATTTCCATTAGTGGGTTTGAAACTAGGCTGATTATTTTGGTATGTCCCAGGGAGTCACCCCTAGCATGCCAGTTGCCACTACATTCCAGTCTGTATGTCCCCATCCTCGCTTCCGCCTTGATGAAGATATCAAGAGGTGGAATTTTGAGTAAATGTATAGCAGTGGTAGGAGTGCTGCGCATTGCACCTGTGACGCAGAGAAAAGTTGATTTCAATTCAGAATTCAACAATTGTACCATGCGTTGTTTCAGTCCCCCTGTGTTACCAATTGCTCTCCGAGCAGCCATTATTTCCATTTTGCCTTTGCTGACTATTTTCGCAGTTGAGTATTCCAGGTAAGCTTAGCATCTAGGGCTACTCCTAAATATTCAACCTCCTGTGTCATACTTATCTGTGTGTCAAAAAGTCTGGAAACTTTTAGTTTGTGCAGTTTCCTCTTCTTCGTGAAGGCCACAAGTCCAGTTTTACTAGGGTTACTGCCTTTCTACACCAGCCATCTACTATCTTCAGAGGGCTCGCTGCATCAAGTCGGAAACAATTTCAGCACGATACTATATCGGATTTTCATATCCTTTAAATTATTGCCAATAAACCATGAGGTTTCTTCAAAACTGAAGAGTACAGGAAACGTTGTACAGCCCACTATAAATAAAATGCTATCATCAGAAACTCCCGCTTCAACCCTATTACATAAGTCATAAAGTTGCTAATTGATTTCAAATTCGCAATCTGTCATAATGTCAATTTTTCATTTAGGGAAGGTACACTGTACTGTGTCAGGAACATTTGGTCCACAAGCTTGGCCATTACCTAATATTGAAATTGTCTATCCAAAAACAGTGGATGCTTATAAATGGTTCGCCAGATTCCTACTAGAAGGCAAAATATTTCCAAAACTAGAAAAGTATGTCAAGCATTTGTTGAGTCAACCCAATATTATGATAAAAACTTGGGCAAAACTACAACCCAGGACTGAGGCCGTACTGAAAGCCCTATTGGCCAGAGATTGTTCAACAAAGGACACTCTGGAAGAAATTTGGGGAGATACACCTCAATGTAAGTATTTATTCATCACATTATTTGCAATTCCATCCAATGGTCAGATAGTATTAAAACCCTGGATAGTGTCTGAAAATAAAAGTGGGACATAAGGCACATTGAAATCAGCTGATGGTTGGGTACAAATTTCGCCATAATGTTAATCGGCTAGTGGACTATTTTTCTAATTTCTTTAATAGAATCATTACTCAATCATCTTGCAATTCATTTTTTTTCGGTCGATTTTGAGGTGCTAAAATCATCAATATAGCCACGGTAATTTTCAAACGGCTACAAATTTACTGCAAATGAAAACTGACTTCACGTTCCGTAAGAAGGGGCAAACCATAGCACAGTTGCCATATGTTGAAATATGAATGGGAACTTCAGAAATATTATTCATTTAATAATTAATACATTCTCAATTATGTATTGGTGATATTCTTGATAAGCTATAAAAAATCTGTAATGTATTTGAAGCGCTTTCAATATAAACAAGATTGTTTTTATCAGGTACCGAACAAAAACTAGTTGAACTTGCGATAAAACGGTATGAAAGCATGATAGAGTCAGTCTTTGTATGAATCGGAAAACGGAAAATATACGTTTGTCTCTCCAATAAAGATCTTTGATTTCATACTCTAATTATAACGATTGTATCAAGATATACAATAAAATCCATTGTCTTGTAATTTTCCCTCTTATATGTTGTGTCTTATGGCATCTGTCAGTCCTCAGCGTGCATAGCATTGCTATGTTATGGAGTATAAGAAATATTTCAACAGTTTGGTTGCTCGAAACAGTCAGTAATTAATAACTAAAATATCATGGCTTCCTCCTGTTAGGTTGAATGAAATATTTAATTTGGATATAGTTTCATTCAACGACAGGGCTCTGACAACTTTTTAATAACTTGATTAAAATTGGTGACTTAACAACCTTCCTTCATGAGTGAGAATGGAAGATTATCTGACCAATAATAAAACAGCATAAGAACGCTATGACAACACGTTTGAAATGAGCTCTGGAACAGCAACAACGGATAGACACATTATTTATCAAAATCGCAAGTGTTGCAAACATTGATTCAGGCCCCAAACGATACAGTGAAGTAATCGAATGCCAATTATTCACTACCCCATAACATTTAATTTGCAAGTTGTTTCAATTCGATTCGAGTTTTAAGGGTGAACAATGTACAGTGTGTCCTGTTCTCGGTGCTTTTGCACGATATCTCAGTTATCATTGCAGATAGTGTTACGCTTTTCACATTACTGTCTTACTTTTTGTGAAACAAATAATGCTGCAAACAAAATTTTCAGTCCTTCATGTTTTTGAGATACAGGGCGAATTTGAAAATTCTCACTTTTTGAGCAACTCCCGTATCTTGGTAACTTCACTTTCACTTTCCACGTATAATACATAGTGGCGGATTTACCAGATGGCTGAGTAGGCTGGAGCCTAGGGCGGCAGATATCAGGGGGCGGCGAAATTTGGCTCTAAAATGTTTGCCTTACATATACCAAGGGTTTACTAGTCTTAAAACTTTAACAAAAATTTCAATATTTCAGTACCTACTGCACAGTATCCTGAATACTCTAACGTCTGTATATGAAAAATTACTAAACTCTCTGTAAAATATACTTTTGTGACCACAAACTTTCGAAATATCCAAATTGAATTGATTAATTTTTACTTTTTTTATTTCATCAGTCATAACTCTGGAGAACATTTATCCAAACTTGCATATAGCACTTCGCGTAGCTCTATGCACACCAGCCAAAAAATTGTTCTGGTAAGAGAAGACTTTCTTGCCTAAAGCGTGAGAAAAACTGCGATCGACTTTATGTCAAAAAAATTTAAACGTCTTAGCTCTTTTGTGCATAGAGTCAGAAGGGTCAGAACTACTGAACAAGATTTTATACGACAATACATATAATAATTATTGATGAATTTGAAATCTCGCAAACATATAATGTAAAACTTGCATAGAGATACTGTTTATATTTTATACTGTAAAAGTGCATTAAGAAACGTTCAACGTTTACTAAATGTACATTATTTTGTGTAAGTGTTAGCTGTGTTCATGTATACGTATTTTTAAGGCATATAACTCACCCCGCCTTATAATCAAAACATGATTTTTTAGCTCAGAAATATACCCTAAAACTCTTTCTCGTGCGATCTTGTGGGTTCTAAAAATAATCTAGAAACTGAAACAAGGAAACCCTAGTTCAAAGTCATGCTAGGTAAAAATGAGAAACAACAGATTTAATGAAGACGAAGACGACATAGAGCACAATTCATAAAGTTGCAATGTTATTGACAGAATTAATGTAATTAATATGTGGTTGCAAACTATAGAGGATATGGAATTTCTAGGGGTGGCAAAAATTGAACAGCCTACTGGCGGCAAATTTGTAAATTTATATACAGTGTTCAAAGAAAATTTCTTTGTCTCCATTTTCTAAAAATGATCGATTACAGAAATAAAATGAGTACGCCACTCTATTATACGTAGAAAGTTATATAAGGCCCCTTTCATATCCTGCTGATAAGTTGAAAAGTAATCAAGATCAGGAGGTGCTCAATTTTCAACTTCGCCCTGTACCTCAAAAACTAGAAGGACTGTGAAAATTCTGTTTGCTGCCTATTCGTTTCACAGAAAAGTGAGACAGTGAGAACCGCAACACTCTATCTCCAAAGATAACTGGATAACGCGCAAAAGCATCGAAAACAGGACACACTGTACTTGGAGACTTTAGTCACCGCAATTCACCAATCCAACGTGTGTTAAAAAAACATACTTAGTTTTTTGTTTCTATTTGAATAACAATGATTAATTTGACACGTTGAAATTTCAAACGAACATTTATCGCGCCCAAAGAAAGATGTAGAGAACCAACCAATGAATTCAACAAACCAAAGAGGCAACGAACGGCTCTAGCAGCTGATGGTTGAGAAATAGATATTTTCATAGCCAAAACATAGGGTCAGGTATACAAAATGCTTCTCCTAACTAGTTACATACAATATTTTTCTATTTTTTGATCAAAAATTTCGCTTGGAAATAAATAATGACCAGTTCTACATGAGTTCTACCGATTATGTACAAAATTCAGTAGGCAAGTTCACTTCGACGTCACTTTGATGTATCCGCCAAAAAATAATACAGTTACCAGCTTTCCATTCATAACAAGTCAGCCATTCGCGATCGAAAATAAGCATACGCCACCTATCGGAGTTTTTGAAAACTGTCAAAGCGATATGTTTAATTTGATTTCATTGGTTTACATTTGTTTTTTGTTCGTGCTTATTGGTCACACCCATCAAAACAAACCGCTCAGAAATTTTCAAATGTTGCCGTCAGGTGGGGCGACGTGTTATTTTCTACAGGGTGATTCAAAAGTAAGCGGCATCCTTTCAGAGGCGTATTCCTTGCATGAAAATAAGGCAAAAAGTTCCTATTGATAAGGATCCGAAAATGCTTCCTAAGGGAGCTACGGCCCTTTGAATAGGACACCTCAAAGACGGTTTTTTCTCTATAACTTTAAAATCCTTCACAACAAATTTTTAAAAATTGGTGTACGGCATAAACATTCGATGGTAAATAGGACTCCGTATTCGAAATAATTTCCAAACGAAATCACAGTAACCTGAATATCCGGAGAAGAAGGGATATTTTTACACTTACCCTCTCCCGCATGTGACGCCCCTGAATGAAATTCTGAAATTTCGAATACGGAGTCCTATTTACCATCGAATGTTTATGCCGTACACCAATTTTTAAAAATTTGTTGTGAAGGATTTTAAAGTTATAGAGAAAAAACCGTCTTTGAGGTGTCCTATTCAAAGGGCCGTAGCTCCCTTAGGAAGCATTTTCGGATCCTTATCAATAGGAACTTTTTGCCTTATTTTCAAGCAAGGAATACGCCTCTGAAAGGATGCCGCTTACTTTTGAATCACCCTGTATAGCCAATAGGGTGGCATTTGGAAAACACATGTTGGGGGTAATTTAAGCTACCCCTGGAGGGCTACATTTTTTATCTTGCTTGCAGAATGTCGGTAAATACATTAAAACGTTGATGTTTCTCGCGAATTTTCGAAATTATCATTCGCCTTGCTAGCTAATTTATTCCAGTTAAGGTCTCCACCCTGTAGATTTAAAAAAATATATGCAGATTGGAGTACATGGATCTATCACCGATTCAATGATTTGTTCTATAATGTCGAATCAATTAATTCTGACTGAATGGATTTTTCAGATTTACTGGAAGAATATCTAAAATGGTTACCAGAATCTGCTCATGCTGAGTTTTCATTGTTGTGGCCTCCACTTGATAAAAAAACAACTTAATTGAAAAATAGCAACATCTGTAACTTGGGTTGGATTTTTTATGGCTTCGTGTGGTACTACGAATTCATATACCGAATGGAAATGCTAAAATCTATAGTAAGTATGATTGTATATTTTGATTGAAGACGTTAACAGAGTTTAAGTAGATAGAAGTGAAACTGAAAAACTATTGACGGTTATTGAATTTCAAATATACATTTTATCAAATGGTTTCTATTCATGTTCATCATTCCTAATCCACCGATATAAAGCCGTGTTGAATGCACCATTTCCAGTTTTCTCAGAAATGGAATTGTCTGAAGAAATAATTCATGACAATAATTTTCGTGGCATGACTAGCAAGATAACTAACAATAATCATATCGTTTTTAGCATTCACAATAGTTATTTTTGTATCTAGTGCGCGAAATGCTCGGCTGCTCGTTAAAAAAAATCAATTCTCGATCATCAAAGTATTTTGCGCACGAGTTGCAAACAATCTTTTTTCTACAAACGTCAAGAAATACAGTTCTGAATTAGTAAGATGCTCAGCTCAATATAAAAAATAGTGTTGAACTGTCTTAAAAGGCCTCTCCCTATCTTCCCTAGGTACGCACGATGTTCCACGAACATTATAAGAATTTTCTTTCGTGCGGTCCAAGAGATAAAAAAAATATTGTTCAACATTCAGAAATGAATGATTTCTTGGATGTTTGCTCGATTGAGGACCATGAAGATAAAGTAGAAAAATCTCATATAGTTTACATACAATGCGCGAAGTATGTACTTCGCGCACTGCTTCACATATGGTGTGGTGGTAAGGTAGGAAACAGATAAAAGTGTCACTTCACAATATGTTATCAATGCGCGAACCTTGTCATTTTTGAACTTTTGTAGAAAAAATGCATTTGATACAAGAAGAAGCTCAAAGTATGAGTTTCTTCTTCAATTGAAGCTAACAAATTTAAATACACTTGATTATAAATAGATTATTTACAATAATTGAAATGGCTACCAGAATCTGCTCATGCTGAATTTTCGTTATTGTGAAATCCTCGTGATAAATCAACTGCATAGTTATATACCACATAGAAATGTTGAAATTCAATGTGTTAAGTGTATATATTTTAATTATTGAAGATGGCCATTCACCGAAATATCTGGTATTTTAGCTTGGACACATACCTCAGGTTTTTCTCACTAATATGACAAGGCTAATCAAAACGGCTGTGTTTGTTATTTTTTTAGTGCCTACATGTAGAATTTTGAAAACTGTAGTCAAAATGATATTTTAAAAGAATGTGTAATTCTTAGTTTGTAGATTCGAATTTCGATAATACAAATGCTACTATTCAAAACTTGTAGTAAATTCGCTTTTTTTTCGACCCCAAATTCAAATATCATCGAATTCGACTAGCCCTGAACATTGAATCAAACGAAAATCATAATGAAGTTATTTAATCAAATTAATTTTACATGACTGAATATCTACAATTGTCTGAAAATACAATATCAATTTGGAACTATTTTACACAACATTCAGATAACCATTGCAATATTAGTAACAAATTAGCATTCCCTTTGCTACTTCAGATGCTTTTTCTTTGCCCACTAATTTCTCGACGATTGTGAGGGCAAAATCGAAAGAAGTTCCTGGCCCCTTACTCGTTATGATATTACCGTCGACTACAACTTTATCATCCAAATAGTTGTACTTTCCACCTTCTACCATTTGGTCTTTCATGCTTGGGTAGGAAGTGATATTTTTGCCGATGGCGATACCATGTGCTTTCAAGGCTGTGGGAGCTGAAATTTTCAAATTTTGCAAATACGGAATGTTGAACAAACTATTGTATAATTTTCGGAGATTTTTGTGTTGAAAGAATAATATGCATGGCAGCATCACCCTTTGTTTTTTTTTGTTCATCGACTGATGTCCACTGTTTTCTTCAACTTGCCACTATGACACAGCAAATGCAAAAAAAACAGTAATCTCAGGCATTTTGTATAGAAAAACGAATTTTTTATACAACTCATAAAATTTTACGATTTTCTAGACAAGGAATTAATGTAATTGGGTATTTTTGAATACATATTCTATCTAGAAACATCTGTAGCGGTTTTGTCGCAACCGTTTTAGAATGATTTTCTGGCACTGGTATGCAAAAGTTTGAAACTAGAAATATCTAAGAAAAGATTTATAACAAAATTCGATTGTTTTTAACAATTCATTCATCCAGCTTAATGAGGAAGCAAATTTCTACAGAAGTAAAGTTTTGTCCAATGAGTCTATTTCAAGTTCAGGAATCTAGATATATTCTCGCTCTTTAAATTGGAACACCCTGTATAACTAATATTCATGGGCCTATAATTCAAGACAATGAAAAACGACAGTAGACCAGGGAATTTGAAATTTGGGGTAGAACCCAGATTCCGATCAACTTAAAGACGTTCCTACAAAAAAAAAAAAATACCTACTTACTACCTACCTTGAAATAAATTTCGCCGAGGACTTTCATATTTATTATCGATGCAAGTTCTCAATACAAAGCTGATTCTTCAAAACTGTAATCATTTGATGAATCAAATCGAACCGGGCTGAACCCCAAAAATGAAAGAAATTTGAATCGAGAGGGAGGATTGGAAACATTGTAAGATTCCAAAATAAAAAGAGTTCAGCTCAGCTTCAGAAAATCCCTTGTATATTTTTGTATTGTAACAATAAAAACAAATACTCAAGCTTGCGCAGTCGGCAAAAAGGAGAGAATTGAACCCCTTTCGTTAGTTGAATAAAACATGTACTCCTCCACCGACAGATTCCGTCGATATTAAAGACACATGAGAATCGTTGCACTCGTTCCAGCTATTCGAATAGGTTTATATCTGCAGTAGAATGCGTAGAGATGGTATAGACACGATACGATTTCGACAGCAGCATAGTGGCTCAGGTCCAAGCCGTTCAAAGGGAAGTCAACGATAGCATTCATGACTATAATTTCAGGGCACTTGTGAATTTCTGATGACTTCATGCATTATCGATTCTTTTTACATTTCTTACAGGTTGGCTTTTATTCGCCGTCAAATATTCCTATGCTAGTAAAAGAGTTCATATATAAATGATAAATACTCAAAAAGTTGAACGTGACCTGAAATTTTCGTCAGACAGCAAAGTCCTTTACTTTTTTCCGGTCAAACATTTGGGGTAATTCCTAATCAAAGGTCTATAATCTATAGATAGATTGAATTTAGTAATCGCCATTATGAAATGAGAAAAAATATCCTTTTTGTGGACAATTTCAATTGTCTGTTCCCTTCCTACTATTTCAATCAAACCAATCCATACCTGCACATATTGCAGCAATTATTCTACCACTCTTTTCTTGTTCTTTGAGTAATGCCCCAACTTCTTGTGATTCAGCCATTGCTTTGGCACCTCCTAAACCTCCTGGAAGGACCAGCACATCGAAAGGTCCTCTGGATTTAGCTTCTGACACAGCAATGTCGGGTTTGATATTCACCCCTCTGCTGCATTTCACCAAGGAAGAGTCTGGCAATCCAGCTATAGTAACTGCAATCTACAAACGCACACAAAATGTGTACGAAATTGTATCTGCTTCAATATGAAATATACGAAAGAGAATGATAAATATCTGTAGAGATATCGGATGTTCTGGCTGTTCTTATGTCAAAAAGTTCAAGGCAACTATTTAGAGCATCTTCTGAACTGAACTCAGCTTATTTCCTCAAATTATGAAGTAAACGTCGATGCATTCAGGCAATTATTAAATGTTCCGCTATTTTGTAGTAGGTGAAGATATTGACTTTATATTCTAAGGTTGTGAAGTATTTGTCAGGAGCTTTAAAAGGATGTATCACAAGACCCCCTCTTTCCATTTAATAATTTTCTCCAGATGGCAACCAGTCGCCATCTCGAAATTTTCATCTGTCAATCTCACTCCAAAATATAGTATTCATTCATCAATTTTTTTACCCCAAGTTTCAATTTTTTCGGTCGACTCGGTCAAAAAATAAAAGGGGGGGAGGTATTAAAGAAAAGCACTGTATATGGACCACTTTCTAATTTATAATCGTAATATGAGCTCCAAGGGAGCCTCAAGGAAATGTCAATTCCAAGGAAGGTAGAGAGGCACCTTGAGCATTCCTTGATCCTTGTTCTTGTATTATTCCAGTTTGGATAGTATTTATCTGAATGGTTTTCTGGATATTTCATTAGAAGTGTGAAAGAGAATGTATAAATATGGTTGGCTAATCTCTGGTATAAATCAAAATAATATTCAAGTCTTGAGACTTATACTTGCTAGTGGAATCTTTGTAGGTATAGAAATGCAGGTTGTGTTTGAGATAATCTTTTTTATTTCAAATAATATCTACATTAAAAATGGTAACTTAGCATCCCAGCAATAAATAATTTCATTGCAGCTAAAAAGCATCCATTTTTTTTTGTTCATAAAGTGATTTTTTTAATGTATTTTCGTCAGCGTCATCGATAAACCTTGCCTGTTGAATAGAAGGAATATGTTATGCAACACGCAACACTAATATTGTACAATGTTGCCAAGTGTAAGGGTTCCTTTACTCTACTCCTACTCAAGGGGGGTTTATGAAACAAGTTTCTTGTCAAGTGCTGAGGAGGAATCCTCAGTTAAGGAATACTTGAGGAAACAACTTTATATACGGGCCTAAATCATTCGGATTCAACGTTCAAAGTTACCACGGCAATATCAACGACCCGTGAAGCGTGACATCTAATAAATGTCAAAGTCAAATAAAATATCAATAACACAATTGCCATTCTTTGTAATGATAATAATACTTGTATTGAAGATCTAAAAGCGTACGAATATATTAATACATTATTACTTTTCATCGGTGTTCAGTGTTTTATTATACAAGTTCTCAGATTGTAATCGAGAAAATTCAATAGGCGATAGAAAGTTTATGTAAATTTGTATGTTTTGGAGCTTCGTTTTCGCGATATGAGGTGTTGAACTATTTTGAAAAAATTGTTTTTTATCCATAGCTGAAATACTCCTTAGCAGATCGGTAATATTAGCAGGTTTGTTTGTAATATGAGAATTTATTTTGATTAAATGTACAGATGACCAGGATGATTTAACTGATATTGTTGAGACACCCTGTTGGAATACGGCCTTTACCTATGAAATCACAATAAATACTATTAACAGGAATTTCAATATCTAATTGACAACTTAGACATCACAATGACAAGGACCTATAAAATCAACAGTTTTCATAGTCAAAGTTAACTCCTATGAATTTCCTTCTCCTAGCCTTTGTGAGAGTCCAATAAATTTCAATAATAAATATCAAATAAAACATGAACTGAATTAGTGTTTAGTAAAAATGTGATTGATATTACCCCTCCTCGAGTCAAGGTATCAGCTGCAATCACAAATTCCATTTCTTCAGTTCCTGCAGCAAGGAAAACCAATGCTTTTTTGGACATCTTGCACTGTGATAACTGCCGAACCTGACAATGAATATTCCTGAGAAAAATAGTTGAAGTAAATACAACAATATTATAAAGGAGAATATATCTTGAGGATCTTATTGCAAATAGTGAGGGATGGAAGTACTCAAATGAATGAAAAAACATATGTCACAATCGCGCCGCTGTCGATTCGTCGCTGGCTGGAGACAAACTCCATTGTATAAACTATAATCTCATATTGTAGTACCTATCACAATAACAATACATTCCCAGGATCCTTTTTTATGGTTGATCCCAGCAAAGTATCGTATCGTATAGGAATTGGTGTTCTTCTTAAATTTCTGAAGGTTATATGTTGGATATAACAATCATACTCGTTGTCTTCACAATTTTATTTTGTGGTAATGACTTTGAGTTGAATTTATTTGTCCATTATATAACAATAATGATGCACCAACGCCAAGTTCAGTTCTTTACCTATATTCTACAAATATTTGATTCATAGTAATGTAGATAATAAGCTGGAAAAGTGATGTGGCTGTAACATTATCAGACTACACCTATTCTACATCATCAAAAATCAACAAAGTTATCAGTGGCATCGCCCCCCCCCCGCTTCTTGTCAAAATATCGTTCTTTTTCATAAATAAATAAAAAATCATAAGTATGCTCCTTGCGAGAAAGTCACATTTTGAGAAGTGCCTATTATTCGTATTTTTCTGAATGAGATAGTCATGATTCATCTCAGGATAAAGATATCGTCATTCAGATAAATATTTTTCGTGATATATATATATATATATATATGAAAACTAGGAGTTTGGGTTGAACCGCGTCTAAAATCTGTGAATGTTCGACGTTTCGGCACCAATTTTGGAGCCATTTCCAAGAACTGAAAAATAGAAATAAAAAGGTTATTAGAAAATACAGGAACTGATTTTTCACGGATGGTATGTGACTTGACGCCGGGGTCTCAATCTGCCTACTCCAATTACCACCGAGACTATAACTCCTTCGAGAGAAATAAGGGTGTGTGACCAGTGACATTTGTTGGAAAGCTGACAAATTCAAATTTGCCAACAAACTGATTGATACAGCCTAACGCAGCACATTTTACCATCATCCCAAAACATAATTGAGTTGTCGTACATTAAGATTGAGTACTAATTAAAATTTTTCAAGTTTTCTTTTAACGCCTATGAATGTGACGTGACAGCAATGTCATGTCAGGGCAAAGTCACTAGATCATTAAAAGAGAAAGGAGCGATGATCTGTGCGTACCCTGTCAACATGATAAATACGTCAATTTTCATCAAGGGACCACCCTAGATCGAACAAACTCTATACAAAATCTTCATTTCAATTGATTTATTTGCATATAATTCAGATAAATATAAAAATGATTGAGAATAAAACACAATATTCGATCTTTTCATAGAATCCTCTACTCTCTACTTCACCTTTCCCTTTCGATACATTATATTCAGGTTGTGTCGTGTTCCATAGAAATATAGGTATTCGCGAGATTCACGAAGTGGGCGACATCTAGGTTACATAATACGAACTTCAAACTGGGGGAAAACAAACTGTTGTCTATGGATAAAGTGCATAGACTACATTGCATACATCTTGCTGTAGCTGTAGTTGTCAAACTTGTCAATGACATAAAGTGTTATCACTCTTATCAGTACACAGTACACAAGCTAATGGCACTAATGGGATCGAGTGAGGATTGAGTTTGTTTTCCCCCAGTTTTGACGTGGCTCTGACATAGAACGATGAAAAGCGAGCGCCACCTGGTAACATTGATTCCCGCGAATAAGGAATTTCTTAACTTTATTCTGCTTAAACATCCTATATCCTTACGTGTGTATAGACTCGGAAATATTCATTTTGTCGTTTCGATTATTTATAATAATGAAGATGATGGAAAGCCCTAATTTCGAGTGACAACGGAAAATGAAAAAACTCCACCGCCCCGCGTGAGAGTCGAACTCACAACCTCTGGGTTACATGTCCAACGAGTTAAAGTTGTTTATTTCTCTCGATTTGTTAACAATACAACACATTATTTACAGACAAATTTCATAATTTGAGATGTACAGTGGTACATAGAGTCCTCCGCGCAAGACAGAGGTGGCCGGTGTTGGCCAAGGAATGTGAGCGTATAAGTGAAGTGTTCGTAGCAGAGGCCTATCTCCTAGGGCTGAGCCCTTTATATAGGTGATCTCGCGGAGGATACCCAAGAGGGTGAGGGAGTTGATCAGTCGATATTAGTAGTAGAGTTTGCGTGTCGGTGGAGGAAAATAGGCCATCACTGACCGAGTTCAGTGCCAGATCATCACTCATTGTGTGCTCTTGACACTATTTTATTATCGTGTTTTGTGAGACAGTGTTGTCCGGATCCTTCCCGGAGCCTCAGTTTGGTCCCGAGGATCCGTGTTTCTTATGTACGGTATGTTGTTGTCGCGTTTCTGTGATATTCCGGGTAAGGTCACTTCCATTTATGTGGTATTTGTAGAATTTGTTAGATGTTTGGATAATGAAATCTCTGATTTTGGGCAAATTACTACATCTTTCGTGAAGATCTGCCACTCGTGAGTATCTATCACCGCTAGTGATAATACGAAGTACCTTGTTCTGCAGCACCTGCAGTCTATTCATATGAGTAGGTGAGATGCTGCAGAACACTGGGCACGCGTACGTCATCACTGGTCTAATAATTTGCTTATATACCAAGACCTTATTCTCCACCGATAGTGGAGAGGTCCTGGATAGCAGCGGATACAGTCTCTTTATTGCTGCTTGAGTTTTTTGTATTAAATAACTTGTATAAGACCAGAAATTCATACATGACCAACGCGTTGTCAATTGAGTTAACGGAACATCCGTCGATCAATCGGCGGGGAGGCCGAGTTGTCATCACACACCATGCCGCCAAACACTATACTTTCTCCTCAACGCCGTTCATATAATAATATTTTTTCTGTGCAGGAACAAAGTTGTAACATTTTATCTCTGTTGACAGGTAACAAAGTCACTTATGTAACTTTCGTCACTAGAAACGAAAGTTAACGTTATGAATATCACTCTCACTTGCAACGGACATCACGTTCTCGCTGAAGGTATTTTATAACAAAGTTACGTATTTTCGTAAGGCGTTGTAGAAAAAACTGTTCACCTATTTCATTTTCTTGAAATGCGGTCAAAAATCGGCTCCTGTGATACGCCCAAAAGGAGTAGGACTGGTATCAACCGATGTCTCTTGCCGAGCTAAGTCGAAAATATGTCCCAAACAACTCACAATACTACAAAACATATTAAAAACTAACCTGACATTATAGGAATTTCCTTTCGTGTGCTCCAAGAGATAAAAAACAAATTGCCAATCGTTTAGTAGCCGCTCATACAAGCCCCGTCCAGAATCGGCCGCCAAGTCAATCAGCCGCTAAGCGATGCCCATATACTAGTCTGGCAAAATAAAAATATAGGAAAACCATCTATTGAAGTGAAAACGCATAAAGATTCATGGGTATCTAATATAGAGAAAGCGACGTTGGGACGTTGCGATTATGCCTATTTGCGTGTAGCTCGTGTGCAAGAGGATTGGCAATATTGCTTTTTCAGATACTCATGAACCTCTATGCGTATTCACTTCAATGGATGGTTTCCTCATGAGAAGATTCAATTTGCTAGACGTGTATACAGCCACTGTCGCACAGGCTCCAGTGGACTTGCTACGCGGGACCCGGGACCCAGCCCCACTAGTTTTTTAGTGACATTTGTAGCTACAAATATTCCGAGTGTTTCATTATCATTATGAAAATGTCGCAGATCGTCCTCAGGGGATTTCGTAAAAACATTTATCCACTTTCTTCAAACTCGAGGTTTGGCATGCTCATTTTTTGAAGCATATCTGAAGAAAATATACAAGTAAACTCAAGTACTCCAGTACCGTACCTATTTGAGTAAGACAATAATGATAACAATAACTTGCATGAAACTATAAGGTCTTTTTGAGTGATAAAATTGGTTTTTACATTTTCACCAAATAATATGTACCAAATTCCAAATGATCACATTTCCGATTGGATCTTTCATGTTGGGCTTAGAATTCACCCAATAAATTATAAAATCCAGTTGATATACAACTCAGCAATCTCTACTATCATTCCATCACTAGCACTACCAGTCAGACGTCAAGACGAACTCGGCAGGCCCAGTCAGCTCATCCTTTCGTTGTCAACCTTGAAATATTTCGAACAACAAAACTCGCTCGTCTATTCGCGAAAATCACGAACCAATAGATGGCTCTATTTAACGTCAAATCAACGTCAAATTTCAAACTGAGTATGAACAACAAAAACATTGCCGTATGCACTCATTGCAAATTGGTTATTTCGAAATCATTTTGCAAAATAGTGTATAATAAGTTGACTTTGTGAAATACGTACAAGGTTTCCAGTATGGAAAAAATTACTTTTTGTGAAGAGAAACTGCCATTTTGATGTGGACAATGGTGATATTCATCATTGATATCACACTACAATTCCACAGTTTTCAAACATATGGAATGGTCGGAATGGTCCACTCAACACTTGCATGGACTGGAATGGAGCCATATAAGCAATCAGCTATTACGACAATATGGTATAGGTATGAAGAAATAATTGAATTCATCAAGAAATATCACTGGCTTTCATGAAGGAAAGGCTGCTCAGAATGAACAATATCATCGATTTACATAAACAAGGATCTCCAGCAATTGAAGACTTGGATTTATTCTCAAGATCGAATCATTGCAACCAACATTCATACAAGGATTCTAACTGTGCTTCAGAAAATGTATATTATATTATTATAAGGTTGGTACTGACTTCTTCATTGTAAACAATAAAAGTTCATGCAATAATTCGAGTTTTTTTCATCAGGGAAGAATGAGGTTCTGGAATATGCACTTCAACAAATAAATTATTTTCAAATAAAACACAGAAACTCAAAACAATGGTCGCCATATTTGTTGTTCATACTCGCAAGACTTGTAAAGGTGTAAAGTTAAGTTAGCCACCAGAGGCCGCACACTTCGTGATTTTCGCGAATAGAACGACGAAGCTTTGGAAATCTTTGGCACTGGAAGTATTCCAAAGAACTTATAACCTCCAAAAGTTCAAAAAAATTCCAACCTCCTCTCCCTATCCTCCCTAGGTCTGCACGATGTTCTTCAAACATCATAGGAATTTCCTTTAGTGCGCTCCAAGGGATAAAAAAAATACCAAGCATCTCATTCAGGACACTATATCACTTGAAAAAGCAATTCAATTTATATATAAGGGATATTCCCAGTCGTGATTTCTCTTGATATCATAATGAAAATGACTTGCTATACAGGGTGATTCACATAAGAACCGACATAGAGCAGGGGCATGTAGGGGGTCCCAAAATATGGCAATTTAACGCAACTTACCTCTATACCAAGTAGCTTCCCTAAGGAGATATAGGCTTTGAAAGTGAAGTTATAAATTTTGAAAAAAATCAATATCTTCGTTATTCTTGAACTTAAAGCAACCAAATTCGTTACACTTTGTGAATGTATTTAGGCGTTACTCGACAGTAACTAGAGTTTGATTGAAATTTGTAAAGGGGGTATACCGGGTGGCGCACCATCAATATTCAACATAATTTTGTTATCCCTTGATGGATTTCAAAAATCTTTGCTTTGTTTTGTGGGCAATACAATTCTAAAACTTTTCTTACTCCAGTAATTTTTCGAAAAACCTCATCATTTTCATCAAAAACTCGAATAACTGAAAACGCTCGATCTAGGTGTGTTATTTAAAATCATCGAAAATTCAAAAGTTGGCTATGAAAATAAACGTCAAACTTGACAACGAGGTAAGTGAGTTGTTCAATTAAGTAATTGTTGTTTGAGTGTTTTTAAAATGAACGGGAAGTTTTCTTTAAACGAGCAAGTTGACATGCTGTTAGTGCTATGCCTATAACTCCTTAGGGAAGTAACTTGGTATAGAGGTAAGTTGCGTTAAATTGACATATTTTGGGACCCCCTACATGCCCCTGCCCTATGTCGGTTGTTATGTGAATCACCCTGTATATTATCAGAATGTCAGTCTAGATTGCATAAGAAATATTATTTTTTTTAATATATTGACCAGAAATCAGGAATCCTCCCTAGGTCTGCACGATGTTCTTCGAACATCATTGAAATTTCCTTTAGTGTGCTCCAAGGGATAAAAAAATACCAAGCATCTCATTCAGGACACTATATCACTTGAAAAAGCAATTCAATTTATATATAAGGGATATTCCCAGTCGTGATTTCTCTTGGTATAATAATGAAAATGACTTGCTATATATTATCAGAATGTCAGTCTAGATTGCATAAGAAATATATTTTTTTTAATATATTGACCAGAAATCAGGAATCCTCCCTAGATCTGCACGATGTTCTTCGAACATCATTGAAATTTCCTTTAGTGTGCTCCAAGGGATGAAAAAAATACCAAGCATCTCATTCAGGACACTATATCACTTGAAAAAGCAATTCAATTCATATATAAGGGATATTCCCAGTCGTGATTTCTCTTGGTATAATAATGAAAATGACTTGCTTTATATTATCAGAATGTCAGTCTAGATTGCATAAGAAATATCTTTTTTTTTAATATATTGACCAGAAATCAGGAATACGACTGTTTATGATCCTTTTTTCATTATTATTTTTTCAACTCTCAATTTCAGTAGATTTTTATTCTTATATCACCAGCTTGGTTGTTCCACATATGTGATTCAATACATTCAAAAAATTCAGTAAATAGCCAGGAAAGTTGTTTTCTGTTGAATATCCTGAATGAGATAATACAGGGTTTCCCTAAATTGACCTGCCAAACTTCACAAGCGGCTTCTACGACCAAAAATAGGAAAAAAGTTCCAATTAATATGAGTCGAGAAATGTCTCCTAGGGAGCTACGGCCCCCTGAAAGGGGGCTCCTGAAGATGATATTTCTTGAATATTTCCGAAATGCCACGTGATAAAATGATGCAATTTGGTAAAAGAACTAAACTTTTCATATGCAATACGGTCAACGTAAAATCATGGCAAAGTTTCATTCATGAGTGTATAATATAAGGTGGGACTACAATAAATATTGCTGAAACTGTTTTGATTTCATATCTTTCGGCAATTCAATCTCGGATTATCCACACCGTTTCACAAAAAATGTGCTCCTGTTCCGCATCGATCAGATGTATCATTTTCGAGTGAAATCGATTTGAAAATATTGATACACTCACATCTCATGCATAACGTAGCCAATTCTCAAATCATATTGGCTATAAAAAATCAACTACCTTCTTTTCACCAAACAATCAGCGCGAAAAACAGGAAAATGATGATAAAAAACCTACTTCCATTTTTGTGCATTTTTTTCTATTTCCACGGCGACTCATATTGCAATGTTATGCATAATATCTAAGATGTAACAATCGCTTTTTCTTGATAATGATACATCTGATCTTTACGGAACAAGAGTACCCTTTTTCTGTAAAGAGGTGTGTATTTTCATAATCCGAGATTAAATTGTCGAAAAATATGCATACACAAAATTTTTAGCAATATTTAATGTAGTCCCACCCTGAAATATACATCCTGAGTGAGATTTTCAAATGATGAATTTTCACTGCATTGGGCATGGAAAGTTTAGTTCTTGTACCAAATTGGCATCTTTTTATCATATGGAGTTTCGGAAATACTCAAGAAATATCATCTTCAGGAGCCCCCTTTCAGGGGGGCATAGCTCCCATTAGCTTATTGGGACTTTGTTTGGATTTCTCTTTTAGTCTCCCTGATAACAAAATTTGTTAAACACAGTGACTGATTTGTCCATATATTGAAATAATACCTTTTTTATGTAAAATTGCTTGAAGAATCATATTCTGGTAGGAGAAATGAGATAAATCTTGAAATAATAAAACTTGGGGAATTTTTATAGCATATAGGTTTTGAGTGTATTCACACCTCCTTGTATATTAAATCATGTTTTCCATTCTATGAACCAATTTGTAAGATTGAATCACCCTTAGGTCCCAAATTTCGTGTTTCTAGGATCACTGATAAAAAAGATGATTGAAAAACTGCATTTGATGACCTACCTTCAATATACCTAAAAACGTTATTCTGGAAAACCCTGTATAGATCACGTCAACTGATGAAGGTATACCATACCCTGTATAGCCAGGAAAGTAGTTGTTTTCTGTTGAATATACCGAAAAAGAATACATATTTTCATCAGATAGAGAATGTGAATTCCAAATGTATTTCTTTATATGTGTCCCTAGATGTATCCATTTTTTTTTCATGTTCATAATATATTTGAAATCTGAGAACATTAAATTTCCTTCTTAATACTATCATTATCAATACTATTATTATATATATATATTATTATAGCATTTTTAATAGAAATTTTGAAAATATTGATTTTACACCCGATTACTTCTGATAGCAAGGTAGATATTGGTGGATAGTGACTAGGTATTTCTTGACAACAATTTTGAGAACAGGATTTATTTCCTAACATATTCGTAGGAAAATAAGGATTTAATAATTTATGCTATGAAAAATAAGATGCTCATGGAAAATATCTTGAGGCTTGCTTTGTTATCCAGAAAGTCAATATCTGGTGATGATCAGTGATTACAGTGACATACGATTTCAGCCCTACAATTGAATGTTGGAAGTTCAAAGCTGAATCATTGAAGGATCAAGAAAATAATACATGCATTGATAAGTTCACAGTGACCATTTGACTTTGAATTGGTTATAATGCCTACAATACAATAGGTAAAGAAAGATACATTGACTTCTGTATGCACACTGTATCTGCTTTCTTTCATCTGAGATCAGTGAGATCATTACAGTTAAAGAATTTGAGTTATCAGTATCCTTATCGGGGGGGGGGGGGTATAGTACATACAACAGATGAAACAAGAAATATTGACTTCAACTATGTGCACACTGCACACTGTAGGTATCTCCATTAGGCCTTTTCATTAAGATGACAAATGACTATCTGTTTTTTCGAATTAAATTGATATAGTACAATTCATACACCCCAGGAATATAGAAACCAAAATACTATATTGTTATTGTTGTTTCTCAATGATGAATGCTCATTGTGGTTGACATTTAACAGAACGTCAATAAAAACCAGCATATTCGAAATGGCCAATCAGAATTTTGTGTCTTAACATACTTCACCTCTGCAACCCAATCAAATTTTGGATCTAAAAACGAGCGCATGCGTCTCAAAAATATATCTATATGAAAAGGCCTATTTGAATCATCTGACATGAATACATCAGTTGAAGCAGATGAGTATGTAGTGACTAGTGACTATATAAGATGAGTATGATAATTATGAGGCATGTTAACGTAGTCATAGTCAAAAGACAACAGTGAATGAGTGAAACAAGATACAGGGACTTCCACTATTTGAACACTAATCTGACATGGATACTGTTGAAGCAGATTGGTTCACAGTGACTGATGATGACTTTAAACGGTCTCTGCGTCGGCTAAATCAGTGTTTTTGTATGTTTTTCACATTTGTTATACCTGTTGATCCCAAATTTGTCTTCTATTAGGAGCCGCAGAACAACTTGTGCCGCTTTCATCAATCTTATCAATCAATAACCTCAAATTGCCTCAAACAATAACATGTCAATGTCAACAAATGACAAGTGCTTGCTCATGGATGGCGAGTTCACATGAGCGATGTGCACTGGCAGCCAAAATTTCCGAAGGGAGCCGAACATCCAGTGGAGCACCAGAATATTTTTTTTTCCGCAAAAATAAGAGTTGGCTGCTCAGCTGCTGTGCCTTGATTTTGGTACAAATGGCCAAATAAATGTATTATTTCAGCGGGAAAAAATCAAAAATTTTTCGAAAACGCAGGATGAAATCCATATAGCATTTCCCATAGCTATCAATCGGAAATAACCAAGGGTCAATAGATTAGTATGCATCTCGCATACCTACCGACTTTTTCTGTTGTTCAGTTGTGCTGGCAAACCTGAAAAATTGTTTCTTTCATAGAAAAAAATATGTTTCGATACTATCATGATAAAATATGTGCCGATATATCATAGAGTGCCATATGAGATCTTATCTATTGCTCAGAAGTTCTTGCAAACCCGTCAGAAATTAGGGTCCCTTGATGGAAATTGACGTTAAAGTCATCTTAAGATTACTTTAACGTCAATTTCCATCAAGGGACCCTATCAGAAATATACACGTGGCTTCATTTATTGCTTCCTGTCTCTAGATACTTGCCTGATGCGTGAGATTCCAACAAGGTCTATTAACTTCTTGAGATTCCAACACCATATATTATATATTATTTTTGTTGGTATCTGTGCTGATTATTTATTTTTATTTATTTATTGCCTCCTGCCTCTCCAAAAGTACAAAAAATATATCCAACCTCATCTCCCTATCCTCCCTTGGTACGCACGATGTTTCACGAACACGCTAGATTATTTGTTACGCCCTGCCTTTAGACGTTAGTGACCAGTGACGGAGAGTGTCAGTGTCGTGGTCGTGACTGTGACTGTCGTGTCAGTATCAGCTGTTTTTGGAAATTATTATTATTATTAATTCATTATATTATTTATATTATGATTATGAATATAAGGTTTTGAAAAATATATTATTATTATGTTGTGTTGGATCTTATCAAATCAATTATGAGAATCTTCAATGACACATTCGAAACAAAAATTAATTAATGTTATAGCCTGAATCATCTAAACATATATATGAAATAATGGCAGAAAATGCTGCTAACTTTACTTCCACTTTCCAAAACAGACCAAGTATTTTTGAGGTGATTGCTCAAAAATCGTTGAATGACACGGTGTACCCCGCTTTGCAGAAAGTTGCTTTGGTAAAATCTAAATGAATTGTTTCAACAGTATATATTTTCACAGATGATTTCCAGGTTTTAGCTACCAATCTTCCACAGAAGTTTTCCTGGTTGAATAACTATTTTGATGAGACTTTTCTGGTTCTGAACGGATGTTTGCAGTACTATTATTTATCTTATCATGGTAAACTGACCTAATAATATTAAACTTCCATATATTGTTGGTAAACACAATATATTATTAATATTAATGTTAATGCAGTGTCTTTCAGAAAGTTGTCATCATGATAATATGGGAAAAACTTTTAATTTCAACAGACATCAAGTTTTGCTAAAAAAAGATGAAAATGATCTACTGGCAAGGTACCTACATGTCAAATGATGTCAAGTTACATTTTTTTAAATTTCACCTGAAACAAGCTTATCTTCCTTTGAATCTCAAAATTGTTCACTTGAAAAAGTTTTTCATATTCACATTCATTTTACACATGAACCTCAAATTCAATGGCAACTTTTAGATTTAAATTTTTTTTAATTTCTATCTAAGTATCTAATATTAAATTGATATCTTTGGGATTATTTTAGTATGGAAAAAATCTATTCTATCCAATAAATATCCATAATAATATCATGATAATTAGTAATTGAAAGTCAGGTTAGTAGCATGATGAAGCTATTGGTATGAAAAATTTTCGTTGGAGATGGAGTTAAAATTTCTTTAATATTAGAGAAATTTTCAAAAAAATTCAATAAGTAATAATAAGTATTGAAATCTTGAAGTATCAACAAAAATTTTAAAAGAGACCTGTATAAAATGGAAATAGGTACAACATTTCTTAGTGAACAATTTTGAAATTCTAACAAATTAGCCTGTTTTCAGCTGGGTTTTCAGTGATTCATTTGAAAAAAATGTAAATTTTGACATGAAGTGAAAATCACTTAACCCTGACCAAGTAGGTAATTTTTCAACTTTTTAAAGAAACCTAATGCCATGGTCCTATTTCAAGATGAATTATCATTAACAGTTTTTCTCATATGAAGCCAATCTGGATCATGGTTCAAGATGCTCTGTTGATCATACATCCATAGTGATTTTTTTTTCCTTTCTATATGTATAAAAAATGAATTGACATGATTGATTTTCTGATAATATACAATCTACAGAAGATAAAAAAAATGCAAATGTCTCATTCCAATGGAGATTTTAGTTTAATAATCAAGTAAAACTCTAAATCTGCTCCTCTCTTTCTAGGTACTTTGTATAGTGATTAAATGGAACTAATTGATGTTCAGATATTACTTTGTTTGAGTCGAGGTTTGAGTTAAAAAAAAATTATGCACCCATTTATATATTGACAGTTGATCAAAAGTTGGGATAGGGACATGTGAGCCGTTTTGACCAATAATGAATAGTTTCGACAAAAAAAAATTCCTTAAGTTGAAAAATGTCGATTTTTCACACCCTATATCTCTGTAATCATTTCCGCTAGACCCCAAGTGTGATACATAGATGAAATCAGCTCTTCAGAGAGAATCTGAAAATGCGATAAAATACAGGGTGTTCTATTTAAAATAACAAAGTTGTTGCTACTTTTCGATAGAAGCGGCAACGCCGCAGAGCTGAAAATATTTTAGATCGATAGATCAAGAGCAATTACTTGAGTAACCAAATTTTTAGAATGATCTTATGTCCCGTTCTCCGTAAACGTCTAAGGTGCCATCGACCGTGACCCACCCTGTATATATGATGAACAACATAGGGCCCAGTATAGATCCTTGTGGCACATGGTAACGTCCGCAAGTGATGATGAGACAATTGTATTTCCTATTTCATTTCTATATTTAATGTAAACAAACTGCTTACACTCAGACAAAAATGATGCAATCCAATCAAGTGGGGTTCCTCGTACACCAATATTAAATAATTTTTTCAACAACTTTCCGTGATTTACACAGTCGAATGCCCTGCTGAGATCACAGAAGATACCAACAGGGCACTCGCTATGCTCCACGGAATGAGAGATGATATAAAAAGCTGTTACTGCCGTACTTATTTTATTTATTTATTCGAAATTTGGGATACTAACAGGTTGTTACCCATACAAGCATCCACTAATACAATCCGTTACAGAGCTAACATTCATGTCTAAACAAATACAATAATACACCTAATCACATAGGAGGTATGAAAATGACATACGATACGGGAAAAATAGTAAGCATTTTCATTAATTAATACTAATTACTCATCATCGTGATATTAGGAAATGAAAATATTTTTTGTAATTCTTTTAAAGGAATATAAAGATATGGAAAAAATGTTTACATCATTGCAATATTTGTTGAATAAATCACACATTCTGGTCATTGGAGAATTTTTACCTAAATTTGTATTATAATTGGAGCACGCTAATAATTGTCTATTTCTGGTATACCTCTGAGGAACATGGTAGGAAATCATCGACACTAATTTCAGTGAGTCATAACAGTTTGTTAATATTTTGAAAATGATAAGTGAATCATTGATAATTCTTCGCTGTTCGAGAAGTTGAATCTTATAGTGGGTGCGAATTTCACTAATACCTGTTATTACATACATATTAGTCATTTTAAAATGAAGGAATCTCACAAATCTAGGTACGCACAAAAATGTTATGGCTTCTCAAAAAACTCAAAACACATGTAGGTGGCGCCACCCCCACGAAAGAGACGAACTAACATAAAATTTGATACTGTCATTGAAAAATGGTCCTAGATACCAAACTTTATTCGAATATCACAATTATTTTGAAATTTATTAACAAAAAACTAAAATAAAAGTTCAACTTTGACACTCTGTATCTCAGAAACGAAGAACTTTCGGACATATATTTATACGAACTTTTCTTCTTATTTTGACATCAGCAACATGCTCCTGAATTTTCTACAGTTACTTAATATTATTATGTAATATCATTTTACAAAAAAATAATAAACTGACATTTAATTGTGCTAGTGAAATGCCAAACAAATTATTTATATTCAAATAAGTTTTTTAGTCTCTAACAGTTACAGGAGGCCTATCCAAATTCATATTATTTTCTATCTTTTCGTACACAAGATACCTACCTACCTACCCACCTCATATTCTCATTATTTTTATTTCAGATGCTTCCTTTGCCGAAAATTTTTATGGATTGAAAAGGGTAACTAATGATGGTACTTTAACAAAAAAGAATAGGGAAATCTCTCTGATATTTTTGATAATAATACCATATTTGAAACGGAAATTAGAGGAGAAGATTGCACTCATCAGGATAGAAGAAGCTGAATGTAATTTAAGTAATGTATGTGAAATATTATTTTGGAGAGGTAGATACGTATTTATGGTTTTTTATCTATGGCATTCAAACTTTGGGTAGGTGGACACTTTTGCACTTTTCTACAGTAATGTTAGTTCATGTAAATTCCAAGGTCGGTTAGAATTCTGGAAATGGTCAAATATCTCGAAATCTACTGGATCAGATAAAAAAAAAACAACAGAGTAGTTTCAATGGAAAAATTCACAAAAATATAAAATAAAATACCTTAAATTTTGTTCAATAATCCGCCGCTCATAACGTTGACTTTTCTATAGTTTCTATCATTACCGTCTCCTTTTATCCAGTGGCGTAGCTGAGAACTCTGCCCCCCCCCGCAGAAATCTGAACTTTTCTATAGTTTCTATCATTACCGTCTCCTTTTATCCAGTGGCGTAGCTGAGAACTCTGCCCCCCCCCCCCCGCAGAAATCTGAACGGGGCCCCTTCCTTTTTAGTTAATAAATAAACATGTATTTCCAATTCTAACGAATGTTTAATAGGTATAACAGGAATTCAAAATCACACACTGATTGTAATAAAAGTAACACATATCAGTACTATACTAGGATAACATGCTTTATGAGGTTATTTATTACTGAATCGTTCCGACCGTTTGCTAATCTCACTTGCGTCATTTTGCTGCGTGAATGACACTTTTCAAAACTGATGGAAGTTTTGAAAAGTCTAACTTTACCTAACCAGTTGCTTACAGAGCTTCGCTCGTCCCGCAAAATCCCATCGTCACATAAAAGGACACGTTTCCTAACTGTTTACGTAAATAGGTATCTAATGATCTATGAATCATTTTCACTTTGAAAATAGATATTTTGATATTCTCATTAGTGGAAAATGGCTGATTCAATTTCAGATTTCCCAAGTGATATCGAGGAAGCGGAACAAAATGCACTATTGTCTTCGTCCATCCATATTCTCATTTCGTAACCGGTGTTGAAATAACATGTCAAAATAAGAACAATGATCGTTTTGCCGAGACTACCGTAACATGTAGGTAGTGTCATATCGAATCGAACTATCTATCGACTCTTGCAATACTGCTTAAATTTGACGGTTAACACTTAGACACCAATTATTGTGGGTGTCAAGAAAACAAAGGGTCTACTACGACTTGAGTAACATCTGCATACAATCTATGAGGAATGGCCTTGTGACCACATGCTAACAATGAAACGCGTCTTGGAAATTCTCAGCCCCCCCCGCGCTTTGAGCCATAAGGACACTCAGCTACGTCATTTCATTTATGAAGAGTATGCTTTGGACTGTCTGATAATTGTCGCTGTTGAAGTGGTGAATGACATTCCTTGTCAGTGAATAAATTTTGGTGCGAGTTTATAGTCTATACTTTTTCGATCAAAACGCCCTGTATCTTTTTCCACAGCAATATTTTATTGAGGCATATTTGGTCCTATCGTTATATTTTGGTCCGAACAATCCGCCCTTTAGCCTATATGCTCCAATAGTTATGACTCACCCTGTATAGAGATTCCAAACCAATGGGGTATTTGGACAATGAAAGGAAAACAGTGATAAAAGATCTTATATATATCACATATAACAAAACCAATTCACTGTGTATATTGACACATCAAACAGTTTATTTTTATTTTTGTAAACTTACAATTTGTTTTCAGAGTTTAGAAGGTAGACTCAAGAAATCATTATTGTATTCATATTCCACACTCGAATTGGTATGGGGTCTATTATCAATTCAGAACTACGTGAGATATATGGCTAAAAGTACAGAATACCCAACGCCTATATTCAAATTAATCAACATGCAGCTAGCATACAATACTGAACTTTTAGATGAACCCGGCTTCTGGACAGCATTATCAAAAGGAGATTTGAGGTAAATAGGGTAAATATAAATGTATAAATTCACATGGATATGTCACTTGCAATTGGCCGAACAACTGAAATTGGTCAATTGACTATCATTTCTTGAATATAAGAGGTGATTTCTTCGATTAACTTATTCTAGTACTTTCTCATATATCATTCCAAATGTTCTTCCATTACAAGAGTATAATAGAACATAAAAAAAAGTTCTCAGGCATTATTTTAGACCAATAACAACGTTCAAACACGCGTTTGCGTGGGGAATATTTTCTATAAGCTATTATGTTCGGTACAATCATTCATATATGTTCTCAAATTATTCTTAAATTGTTCTTATCCATCATTCGGTTGCCCCCTTACGAGCAACGACCCTGAAAAGTATTCAAGAGACTTGTGCGAGCAAGGAATAACGGGGGTTTTACCTTTTAACGTGTCATCCAAAACACTTTCTTTGGCCATCAGAAAAAATTCTGCGGTCGTGGTGGGAATCGAACCAACCTACCGGTAATCCAACGTTGATAGAAACTGAAACTCCTACCACGAAGCTACGCTGGCTATGTAAAGGGGTATACCTCCTGGTCTAGAACCTAATCATCTTCCTTATGGAAACTAGTAGGCGAGTATTGGGTACTAGTTGTTCCATTAAGAACGAGAATATGGGCTAAATACAATGTGCCAGAGATAATTGATTCGAATTCGGCCTTATTCTTCGCTGAAATGGACTACTAATCACACACCAGTGACGGCTCGACAGGGACGGCAGGGCCGACCGGGCCGTACCACAAAATTTGAGGAAGAAGGCTGAACTATTTGATGAATAATGGTAGCTCTGTGTCCAGGCAATTTTGAGACAACCTGTATGCGTTAACCCAGCACAGTTAACCGCTGCAGTAGACTTGTGACAGAATGTTATCAAAACTTCTTCATGAGACTCTTGAGTTAATTTTTAATAATTTTTTTTTCGACCACAAACATTTTTTTTTCCAAGTTTTGAATTTTGGTTGACATGTATCATCATGTTGCGAGCAGAATAACTGCTTCACATTTTCCAGAAAAATTGCCGAATAAGAAAAAAAAATCTAATTTCCAAAGAGATTTGCCTACGGCAGGCTTTTTCTCGCTTCGCTTGCTCTGTCGCCGATTACACATTATTTATTATTATGAAGTTGTCAACCCTGATTATAAAACCATATTGAATCATCTGTTGAACTGTTGAAACACTGGTGTATGCTGTAAAGCTGTATGTTATTTTTAGCTGGTCTCAGTTGAGTTTTGGATTGATCAGGAATGCGGTGGCAACTTCCTTACAAGTAGGGGCATTCTTCTTGCAATTTTTACAAACTTGGAATGCACAAAAGTCAAATCACAACATGACAGATTTGCCGAATATTAAATCCCCCCTGGTAAGTACAAAAATCAATATTAAAAAAAAATCCTACACCTACCTACCTACCTACCTACCTACCTACCTACCTACCTACCTACCTATACCTCCTCTCCCTATCCTCTCTAGGTACGCACGATGTTCTTGAAACATTATAGGAATTTTCTTTCGTATGCTACAAAAGATGAAAAAAAATCAATTAAGTAGGTATTTATGCATACTCTGTCCAAAGATGTTGTCCTAATTCAACTGAAAGAGATAGAATATGAATATAAATTGATTGGTTATTTTGGACATTGTATAACCTCATGTCATATATCTCAATATCAAGATCAGCATATCGCTGATGAAATAAATTGTATCATGATGAAAATAAATGTAGCTATACCGTTTTTATTGGTCAATCAATTAATCAATCAGCCAAAGCCAAAATCGCCCTGCAATATACCCAGCTTTGAGACGCAACTATTTTTGATTTTTGAACCCTCTCGATCACGTGGCAACAAGGCGATTCAATCAAACTTTTGATATTGAATTATTGAAGGGCTGCGCCTAGAGAAAAAATGTAGGATAGAAAAAATGAAAACAACAAACGAGAGCAATGAGTGATAATCACGTGACCGAACTTGGTGACGTCTCTGGAGTGACTTGCATTTGGCGGTAAATTCGAATTTGTTAGCAAGCCTACAGAAAATTTCCAAACGATACTGAAAAAAAAAACGATTCACTGTCGGTCCGAAGAAACAGAAAAAAAGGAGGTGGACCAGAATTTGAACCAGGGATCTCCGGTACGTTGTTGTCACTGACATGAAATACTATCTAGACCGCTAATGTCTTTAGAAAAAAGCAATGCCACTCACGAAATCGAGCTGGAAAACATGAATCATACGCATTTGGGACTTGTCTTATCGTCGCCTCAGTAGGACATCCAAAAAAATAGAGATTATTGAAGTTTTAGCATTATAAACTATGTCGGCACCTAGTAAAACATGGCACATGCTGCAAACTTCATTCTGGTAGGATATCACTATCATTCTGTGCTCGTTAAACAATATACTATTTTCTACGGCTATAACACAAAATTGCTCTTGTTTTACTGTGTTTGATACATCAATGAGGTACTTTGTATGTCATCAATTTTATTTCCGTATCTGATATCACAATGACTCCATTGTGTTATTATTTAAAAAAAATCTCATCGCTCATGGAATGTCAAATTGCAAGCAATGACAGCTCTGTCTATTTAGATGAGCGTTTACTTGACAGGAAATCAGATGGCTACAAGCCGAAGAAAATCTGTTACAGTCGTAGAAAAATTATAGTGTATAACTTGTACGGAATGATAATTTCCGACTCGAATATGATTGCATCATTCGCCTATGGCTCATGCTGCAAACTTCATCCTCGTAGGAAATCACTATCTTTCCGTGTGTACACTGTGTTGTAGAAGTCAATGAGCTACTTTTTATGTCATCAATTTCATTTCCGAATCTGATATCACAATCACATTGTGTTATTATTTCACAAAATCTCCCATGAAATGTCAAATTTAAAGCAATGACAGGTCTGTCAAATAGATTAGCATCAATTAAGAGAAAATCAGATGGCTATGCAAACCGAGCAAAACAAAAATGTCGCTGTTATCTGTTACAGCCGTAGAAAAAGTATAGTATATAACTCACACGGAATGCTAATTTCACACTCGTATGATTTGCAGCATGAGCCGTGGGAAACGACTATCATACTGTGCCCCTTAAACCATACTATTCCGTTCATGACGGAATTTTTATTCCATATTCTTATATATTCCTTCAACCTTTTGACCAATCAGATCCAATCAGAACAGTGTATGCTCTCAATATAACACATTATAAGAGCAGTAATCTATTATTACTAGTCGTGATGATAATGAGTTTTGCCATATATATACCGGGTGTCCCAAGTTTATACAGGCAATATCTCGCTCCCCAGCCAACCAAAAGATGTATAAATGATGTATACGCGATATCGCATTTGAAGTCACAAACATGTTACCGATACAACGTAGCGATGTGAAAATGTCATATTCAAGGAATATCACTGTATCGGACATTAAATGCGAAATCACATAAAAAATCTTTACCAGGTCACATACAAGTTGTACATTTAATATAACAATACACGATGACAATCTGTATTTTCCGAAAGTAAAAACAGATTTATTTATTCATTTATTTATTAATTTATTTATTCAGATTTGGGATACATACAGGTATAAACCCAAAACAGTATCCACTGATACATAATATACATATCTCATAGTTTACAAAGATACAATAATAAACTCAAATTGTAGATATTCTATAGTAAATTACAGGTATAGATTACATAGAAAAGATTTGTTTGGCTCTAGTTTTGAAATGAGACAACGACATACAGGAAATTTCCATCTCCGAGCAATATTTATTATTATCGCTAAGCCTAGGAATAGGAGCGTTTTGACCAAGGTTGGTGTGTTTAAAACTCACATTGAGAAATCGTCTATTTCTTGTGTTTCTGGATGGTACGTGGATATATACTAAGGATAGTAATTCGGAGGCATCATAATAGTTCTCAAGAATTTTAAACTTAAAGACCAAGTCCAAAATAATTCTTCGTTTTTCTAATAATAGAATGTTGAATGTTAATCTTGCTGAATGTAGATTTTCAACGTTGTAAACACCGTTTACTCTGAAGTTTAAGAATCTTATGAATCTAATTTGGATTCTTTCAAGTCTAATTTTATAGAGGTTATAACGAGGACTCCAGATGACGCTGGCAAACGTCAATCTACTATGTACCTAAGCAAAATATAATGATTTGATGGTCTTTTGCTTCTTGAAAGTTCTACAAATTCTACTAATAAATCCTAACATCCTGCTACATTTGTTTATGATGTATTCGCAATGTAAATTGAAACTCAACCTATTATCAAAGATGACTCCTAAATCCTTAATGTGATTTACCCTGTCTAGATTTCTCCCAAGTAAATTGTAATCGAATTCAATTGAGTACTGATTTTTTGTGAATGATAATGTCGACCATTTATTCAAGTTGAGGAACAATCTGTTACAGTTGCAATATTGAGAGAATCGATAGAGAGGTCTGATTCTACGTTTAACAGGGTACAGGTACAGGGTATTTACTTGTTGAGGAAGATTATATAGCGAACGAGTTTTGTGATTATGATCCGATTCTATTCAAAATTGGAAGGTATCTGGGGTTTTCCGGGGTTGGAGATTATAAATATTTCGTCAAAATTGGGATATTCTATGATTGTTTCGTCAAACTTGGAAAATTCAAGATGACGATTCCAATATATATCGAAAGAAATTTCTAATTATGATCTGATTCTATTTAAGATTGGTATCTGAGGGTTTTCCGGGGTCGAAGATTATAAATATTTCGTCAAAATTGGGATATTCTAGATGGCAGATCCAATATGGTGGACGAGTTTTGTAATGAAATTGGTAATCTGGGGGTTTTCGGGGTAGGAGATAATGATTGTTTCGTCAAAATTGGAAAATTCAAGATGACGGATCCAATATGGCGAAAGACATTAGTTTAATTAATTAGTATAATTATTACTCTACCACAAATAGAAAATAAGTGGGATGCAAGAGTGAAAATGACGTGCCTATAAGTTATACTGCGTATACTTAGCGTATATCTACTTCTTTGATACTTTCATCAATAAATTATTCGAAAATGATTTTTTATTTAAGGGAGACGGAAGAATCATATGTATAACATAGGGGTAAAGTATATTCTATTCATTATTTTCCTGTTCATTTTACGTATTACTTTTTATCAGCCTACATTCATCCTAGACGAAGTTTTTTACATAGTGTGATATTAGTAACTCCATAAATTCTTCTCCGAGTTGGATTTCCGAAAATATATTCAGCACACATGGCATGAGTTCAGTAGTTTCCACCATTTCTTAATCATAATGCTCAGCGCATTCAGTCAATTCAGTCAACCCTGGTATACAGTCTAAGAACAGTCTCTTTTGGTGAAATATATTAAGCTTTCACAATTTATATGTTCCCTACCTCGCAAGATTATGCTGGAGTAGTAAACTCTAAAACTAGAGTATTTTTCATCTATATCTTGGTATAGTCAGAGATAAGTTAACTTATCTCTGGTATAGTTGAATCAGAAATTCCATATGGAAATTACGTATGATACGCCAGTGACCTCAATATAACCTAAAAAACAACGAATGTCAAAAGTCTAGTGTTTATCCCCAGAATTGAATAAGGATGGAACTATATAACTGTTTCACACAAACAGTTTAGAGTGAGAGGAGACGAGGATCTGTCCCTACCCTGTTAAGATGACTATAACGTCAATTTCCATCAAGGGACCCTAGGCTAGTTGACACAGGATCTGTCAATTATAAAAAAAAACGCTTCTACGCTTTCGTATACTTCGGATGCATGGACATTCCCCTTAACTCGTTCGACCAATGGAACGAACATATTGAACTCATTGTACACTAGTTTCACCAATGGAAATTGCTAGTTTGGGTTCCGTTACATTGTCGGAATGAGGATCCTTAGTCACTCTTGTCCCGCGCGGCTCAACATTCGAAGTGATTTATGTTAATGCTGTTTACGCCTATAGGGATTCGCTAGTTCGGTAATCCTTGGTTGGGTGTGATTGAGATGATTATAAGAGGCATCTTAGGTGTGATGCATGACTGTGCAGGATCGAACATCGACCGTGCGGCGTGCGCGAAGCGCTATTTTATGTACCGGTGTGAAACTGGCAGACAGACCATTGGCAGCTGAATTTCCAACGATCTCGAATGAACAGTGGCTGACCTCGAAAATATTTTTCTGTCTGTAAAATTATTGCAATAAGATATTATGATTCCTATTCACATAACAATTATTATAGTTATTGTGGAATAAACATAACACCTAGCAAATATACAAGTATTTACTTAATATTTTCTCCTTGACAAAAGTCCTGTGCAGAGCCTCAGAAATGAAT